CAGGTGGCGCCGTTGCCGGGGATAACGGAAAGCCTACCGTTGTCCCTGGTGGAACGACATCCGGGTATGAGAAGTGAATAAGAAAAGGCATAAAAAAGTGATGAGGAGGTAATGGAGGAATATATGAATGACTAAATGTAGGTGAGAAAATTTACCTACCCAAGTAGAGGAAGTATAAGGGACGATCGTGTTAACAGTGGGTAAAGTAAGTACTAAGGGTTAGGTAGGACGAATGGAATAGACCGGTCAAGGTATAATGTTGAATAAGGGGATGTACTTGTTTTCTTTTGCCAGGGAACTTAAAAAGAAAAGGCTGTCAAGATGCCTTAGACTGGCGGCGCATCAATTGTTCCCAAGAACTGCCTGACACTTGATGACCTCATCGCGGCCATCGACCGACATGGAAGGAACCCGAGCAACATCCCAAAGTTCGATACTTTCCATTTCTGTGGAGAGAGAGTCTCAGAATGGCTAGAGCGGGTGAAACAAGCTTTGGTCGGGCGGCCGGATGTTGTAAATTTTCAACGCATCCTTAAGTATGTCCTCCACAGCTACCATCAGGAGGTGAAGAAAGTCATAGATGCGGCTCAAGGTAGCTGGGAAAGGCTCAAGGAGGGGATGCAGAGGAAATACCGTCTGGGAGACGGGTTGTTGACTACCACGGACCTTGAAGCGATGAACAAAGAGGATTTTACGACTATAGGGGCCTTTGTTCAAGAATTTAAGAAGAGGGCGCGGAAGGTCCATGGGATTTCGGAGGAAGCACAGTGCGCCATCTTCCCGGGGCTACTCACAGCATCGGAGGCCATCGAGTTGACAAAACATGGAGGAGGTAGCACAAAGTTCACCTGGGCCACCATTGACAGAGGGGTGGAAGTTGGGTGTTTGGACCAGGTGGAACAACGTCAGGTACGCCTGCAAAGACATAAGAGAAAGGAAAGGGATGCGACCGCTTCTGGGACCCCAGGAGTAACAAGGATTGTTACAGACGTATTGGCACAGCTAGGTTATCCGACAGAGCCGGTGGTGCAAAGGAGGGTGGTGACGGCTGTTAAAGTAAAAGGAAAAGAGCCAGTGATAGAGGAGGCTGGTCAGGAGGAGCTCTGGGAAGAGGAAGAGCCGGTGCCGCAACACCTGACGAAGGTCCAGCGCAAAGTGTGTAATTTGGCGCAGGGCAGACAGGGATTAGGAAAAGCGCAGGCGCCTTAAACCCACGCAGCAACCCCTTTAAATGTGGCGGTTCCATCATCTAGTACGGGCCCCTCGCAAGGCGGGGCGCCCTCCTATGGACAGTGGCCCTGGCCGGTGATCAACGCAATTGTGCCATGGGGAAGCACGCCGCCAGTAGCCGGACCGCAGACAAGTATGCCACCACCCATCTACCCCGCGGCCCAGGCCCAACCTGTGGCCCCGCCACTGTCACCTGATCCCAGTTCACAGGGCAGTGTTGTAGGAGGTGGTAACCAGGGGCAGGGCAATCAAGGCAATGGAGGGAAGGGTGGAGGAAAGGGGCGAGGCAGGAATGACGGCGGAAGAGGAAGGCAATGGAATGGCCAAGGCCAGGGGTACCAAGGCCAAGGGAGTCAAGGCCAGGGGTACCAAGGCCAAGGGAGTCAAGGCCAGGGGTACCAAGGCCAAGGGAGTCAAGGCCAGGGGTACCAAGGCCAAGGGAGTCAGGGCCAAGGGTACCAAGGCCAGGGCTATCAAGGCAAGGGGTATCAAGGCCAGGGGGATCAGGGAAGTCAGCGGTATGGAAGACCCCGCTTTGACTGGAGGACGGCCATCTGTCAACATTGTGACCAGCAAGGCCACACTATAAGGTTCTGTAATATAAGACGGGAAGATGAGAGAAGCGGGCTGATTTCCTCTACTATGGATGGGGATATCTACGATCAATTTGGGGAGGCCATTGACAGAAGGCTTGGAGGAGTGAGAGTTGAAGCCCAACGAAGAGTGGCAGCGGGACCACCGCCCCCTGCCATGTTCAGGCTATGGCAGGAAAAGGAGGAACCACTGTTTAGGGTGGAAGAAATGGGAAGTAATGAGGAAGTGACTCAATGGCTACGAGGAGGAAGTGAGACAGAAGAGACCATAATCATCGAGTCAGATGACAAGGAGGAGGAGGAAAGAACGGAGTCTCCGTCCGTCTTATTTGAGAAGATGAAGGACTTGCTGGATAAGATGGGGAGGTACCGACAGAAGTTGGTGGGCCTCTGTAAAGAAGTGAAAGGATGGAGGTCTAACATCCCCACAATATTCCTCTATGACTCTGGCCCGGAGTCATCGCCTGGGCGACCCGGAGTAAATGTGGTAGGGTCGTGCCCTCAAGCAGGGATAAGGGGGAGACCCCTCACTCCGCAAGCCCGGCTGGCACAGGCAGCGCGAACGAGGAATCGAGCCAAGGCCAGTACCAGCCAAGAGCCTCCAAGGGGGGAACACGAACCAGGGAGAAGGAAGGAGGCTGTGGAAGTAACGGGCGACGATGACGAAGAGGAAGAGGACGAGAGGCTGCGCGGAGAAGAGGATCAGAGAGCGGAGCAGCGGGCAAGGAAAAAGGGGATCAGGGGAGAGGCCGAACCGGTCATACAGGACGGACCGCCCAAGAAGAAGAAATACGCGGTCCGGTTGGAAGAAGGATTTGACGTAGAGAAGGTGATTGATCGGCTGCTGGAAGGGCATAATGACCTCATGACCATGAAGGAAATCCTAGCGTCGGCCCCGCGACTCCGCGATGAAT